AGTCAGTGCGTCATCGAGGACTGTCTAACTTATTTCCATTGGGGTCCTTAATCTTGTCCCCCAGGATGCGACCCACGCCAGTCGACTAACACCCAGGTACCTATTTGCTGCTAGGTGAACAGGACAACAGGTGTAAGGAAACGTGTCGAATGTTTCCACCCGCCGGGAATCGAACCCGGGCCCTCCGTGTGTGAAGCGGGAGCTTTAGCCACCAGGCCACGTCGTTAGTTAGTTAGTTACCATTTTGTCCTAGGCACATGTCAATTAGACACTTGGCCTGTTGTATATAAGAGTGTGTGTGTGTGTGTGTGTGTGTGTGTGTGTGTGTGTGTGTGTGTGTGTGTGTGTGTGTGTGTGTGTGTGTTAGTTACCATTTTGTCCTAGGCACGTCGATTAGACACTTGGCCTGTTGTATATAAGAGTGTGTGTGTGTGTGTGTGTGTGTGTGTTAGTTAGTTAGTTACCATTTTGTCCTAGGCACATGTCAATTAGACACTTGGCCTGTTGTATATAAGAGTGTGTGTGTGTGTGTGTGTGTGTGTGTGTGTGTGTGTGTGTTAGTTAGTTACCATTTTGTCCTAGGCACATGTCAATTAGACACTTGGCCTGTTGTATATAAGTGTGTGTGTGTGTGTGTTAGTTACCATTTTGTCCTAGGCACATGTCAATTAGACACTTGGCCTGTTGTATATAAGAGTGTGTGTGTGTGTGTGTGTGTGTGTGTGTGTGTGTGTGTGTGTGTGTGTGTGTGTGTGTGTGTGTACGTACTCGCCTAGTTGAGGTTGCAGGGGTCGTGTGTGTGTGTACTCACCTATTTGTGGTTGCAGGGGTCGAGTCTTAGCTCCTGTGTGTGTGTGTACTCGCCTATTTTTACTCACCTATTTGTGGTTGCAGGGGTCGAGTCACAGCTCCTGGCCCTGCCTCTTCGCTGATTGCTACTAGGTCCTCTCTCTCCCTGGCCCATGAGCTCTATCATACCTCGCCTTAAAACTATGTATGGTTCCCGCCTCCACTATGTCACTTTCTAGGCTATTCCACGGCCTGACTACTCTATGACTGAAGAAATACTTCCTAACATCCCTTTGATTCATCTGAGTCTTCAACTTCCAATTGTGACCTCTTGTGTCTGTGTCCCTTCTCTGGAACATCCCGTCTTTGTCCACCTTGTCTATTCCGCGCAGTATTTTATATGTCGTTATCATGTCTCCCCTGACCTTCCTGTCCTCCAGTGTCGTCAGGCCGATTTCCCTCAACCTTTCTTAGTAGGACAATCCCCGTAGCTCTGGGACTAGTCTTGTTGCAAACCTTTGCACTTTCTCTAATTTCTTGACGTGCTTGACTAGGTGTGGATTCCAAACTGGTGCTGCATACTCCAGTATGGGCCTGACGTAAATGGTATACAGAGTCTTAAACGAATCCTTACTGAGGTATCGGAACGCTATCCGTAGGTTTGCCAGGCGCCCGTATGCTGCAGCAGTTATCTGATTGATGTGCGCCTCAGGAGATATGCTCGGTGTTATGCTCACCCCCAGATCTTTTTCCTTGAGTGAGGTTTGCAGTCTTTGGCCATCTAAACTATATTGTGTCTGCGGTCTTCTTTGCCCTTCCCCAATCTTCATGACTTTGCATTTGGCAGGGTTAAATTCAAGGAGCCAGTTGCTGGACCAGGCTTATAGCCTGTCCAGGTCTCTTTGTAGTCCTGTGTGTGTGTGTGTGTGTGTGTGTGTGTGTGTGTGTGTGTGTGTGTGTGTGTGTGTGTGTGTGTGTGTGTGTGTAAAATCAGTGCAAATTTAAACTTGAGACAGGAAAATGTTTCATGGTTTATAGCAAAATACTAACTAAAATTAAATTAGATGAACTTTTAAAGCCTTCCCATTATTAATCCCAAGAACCAGTAGACTGGCGAGTATGTACCAAAAGGTTTCCCGGTAACAATCCCAATAACCAGTAGACTGGCGAGTATGTACCAAAAGGTTTCCCGGTAACAATGCCAAGCACCAGTAGACTGGCGAGTATGTACCAAAAGGTTTCCCGGTAACAATCCCAATAACCAGTAGACTGGCGAGTATGTACCAAAAGGTTTCCCGGTAACAATCCCAAGAACCAGTAGACTGGCGAGTATGTACCAAAAGGTTTCCCGGTAACAATCCCAAGAACCAGTAGACTGGCGAGTATGTACCAAAAGGTTTCCCGGTAACAATCCCAATAACCAGTAGACTGGCGAGTATGTACCAAAGGTTTCCCGGTAACAATCCCAAGAACCAGTAGACTGGCGAGTATGTACCAAAAGGTTTCCCGGTAACAATCCCAAGAACCAGTAGACTGGCGAGTATGTACCAGAAGGTTTCCCGGTAACAATGCCAAGCAGTAGTAGACTGGCAAGTATATGCCAAAGATTGATAATAAATAACCAGCTGTAAGGGTACAATATAATACCTGATAACATTATCACAGCTTTCCAAACAAGAACTGTTCATTAATTTTTTTCACAGCCCAAATTAATAACTAATTTTGGCCTTGCTACTCAAGTAACACAAAATAAGTAATCTTAAGCTATTTCCATTTTGACTTTCATATAATAAAGTGAATCATACTTCAAATGTAATGCAAATGAAAGATGTCTCAGCCACTTTAATACTGTATGTTATTTATAAGTGTCATTAACAGATGATAATGCTGACCTCATTTTAACAAATACATTTGTATATACAGGTATCTAATCAAATTACTATATACTGTACTGCAATAAACAATACTTTGTCATCCAAACATAATAAATTTATCCATAATATTCCACTGAGGATAGAGTTTGAATTCATTATTGCTAACATTTTTGCACCATACTTGAGTGTGCACCAATAAGTCCAAAATTTCCTTTAAAACTAATAAAATCTTAAATTATTAGCGATAGGTGAACAACTGCTTTGTTGATCCTTTTAGTTATGATGCACCCAGTGTATTTGTACTTCTTGAAAGTCACATCATTTACTGTAATATTAAGTACAATAACCTAACCAAGTATAAATGTGCCCACTCCCACACCAAATGTACTTAGGCAGTGAACACTTCAGAACATCTTGGCATGATCAATCCTCCTCACTCAGAATAATACATCTATTAAATAATAAAAAAGTACCTATTTTTATATCACCATTCCTAACAACAACAACCTGGCAATCATAACCTGAATATTTGAGCGAATCTAAGTGTGTTATAACAGTTAAACTATTTTCAAAAAAATATTTATCATAGAAAATGACTGCCAGTACCTAAATCATTCAAGAATTTTATATTTTTTTTGGCCAAACAATTTCATCAATACAGCATCAGCCTATTTTTCTAACATCACTCAAATATTTCAGTCTTTACCAACTACTAGACTATTCCCCAATGCTAATGGCTCTTGTAGTTTCATTGTCATATGCAGCTAGAAACAGGCTGACATCCTGAATGACATGGATGTGTATGACCACTATCTCATCTACTTCCTGGGCTGCTGGATGATGGGAGGTTTGCTGTTATGGGAAGAACGTACTTCATGAGTGGGTACTGGTTTCTCATGAGTGTGTGTGTGTGTGTGTGTGTGTGTGTGTGTGTGTGTGTTTGGGTGTGTGTGTGTAGTGTGTGTGTGGGAGTATGTTTATGTGTTGGGTGTGTGTGGGGTGTGGGTGGGTGTGAGGCGTGTGTGGGGGTGTTTGGTGTGTGTGGGGGGGGTGTTGTGTGTGTGAGGGGTGTTTGGTGTATTTGTGGGGTGTGTGGTGTGTGTGTGCGCGTGTGTGGGGGGGTGTATGGGGTGAGGGTGTGTGTGGGGGTGTGGCGTGTGTGGTTGTGGGTGTTGGGGTGTGTGGGTGTTGGGGTGTGTGGGGATGTAGAGTGTGTGGGGGTGTGAGTGTGTGGGGGTGTAGGTGTGGGGGGTGTGGTGTGTGGGGGTGTAGAGTGTGTGGGGGTGTAGAGTGTGTGGGGGTGTAGAGTGTGTGGGTGTGGGTGTGTGGGGGTGTAGAGTGTGTGGGGGTGTAGAGTGTGTGGGGTGTGAGGTGGGGGGTGAGTGTGTGGGGGTGTAGAGTGTGTGGGGGTGTAGAGTGTGTGGGGGTGTGTAGGTGTGTGGGGGTGGGGTGTGTGGGGGTGTAGAGTGTGTGGGGGTGTAGAGTGTGTGGGGGTGTGAGTGGTGGGGTTGGTGTGTGGGGGTGTAGAGTGTGTGGGGGTGTAGAGTGTGTGGGGGTGGTGGTGGGGTGTAGAGTGTGTGGGGGTGTAGAGTGTGGTGGGGTGTAGAGTGTGTGGGGGTGTAGAGTGTGGGGGGTGTGAGTGTGTGGGGTGTAGAGTGTGTGGGGGTGTGAGTGTGTGGGGTAGGTGTGTAGAGTGTGTGGGGTGTAGAGTGTGTGGGTGGGTGTGGGTGAGTGTGTGGGGTGTAGAGTGTGTGGGGGTGTAGAGTGTGTGGGGGTGTAGAGTGTGTGGGGGTGTAGAGTGTGTGGGGGTGTAGAGTGTGTGGGGGTGTAGAGTGTGTGGGGGTGTAGAGTGTGTGGGGGTGTAGAGTGTGTGGGGGTGTAGAGTGTGTGGGGTGTAGAGTGTGTGGGTGTGTGGGGTAGAGTGTGTGGGGGTGTAGAGTGTGTGGGGGTGTAGAGTGTGTGGGGGTGTATGGAGTGTGTGGGGTGTGTTGAGTGTGTGTGGGGGTGTAGAGTGTGTGGGGGTGTAGAGTGTGTGGGGTGTAGAGTGTGTGGGGGTGTAGAGTGTGTGGGGTGTAGAGTGTGTGGGGGTTGTAGAGTGTGTGGGGGTGTTATATAGGAGAATTGACATGTACTTAACCATTGCTCTTACATGTAAAATGCCCATTGGTGTCCCATGTTGTGTCATATCATAGCTTCTGAGGCTGTGGGATGCGAGTTTAAAACCATCTTATTGCTCAGTGGTACAACATCAGCCTCTACACGCAAGAGCAACAGTTCAAGTTTTATGTGTGTTAAGTAGATAGTGAACAACACTGACAGTTTGCTTTTGTGTCTCAGGCTCGGTCACTGTTTACAAGTGAGCTAGCGGATCCAGAGCTGTCAGCCATCATAGCCACCAAGATGGCAAACATACATTCACTCAACGTGCCAATCAGCAAGGAACCTACCTGGATCTGGAACACCATGGGCAAGTGAGTCTAACACCACTCTTTTCTCCCTACCTACCACCCTTCCCATTCCTCCCCCCCACTCCCTCTTACTCTCTCTACTTCCTCTCTTTTTTTCTCTCTATATCTCTCTCTACTATTTTCTCTCTACTCCTCTTTCTCTCTCTCCTCCCTCTCTCCTCTTTCCTCTTTATCTCCTCTTCCTCTTTCTCTCCTCTTTCTTCTTTCTCCTCTTTCTCTCCTCTCTTCTTTCCTCTCTTCTCCTCTCTCCTTCCCTCTTACCTCCCTCTCACTCTCCTCTGCTTCCCCATCTTTCTCTTCTCTCCTGCCTTCTTTCTCGCTCTTTTTTTTATTATTATTCACACGAAGGTTTTTACATGGTCAGGTTAAGAATACTTACCTTTATTTTGCTAGGTAAGAGCTGTTACCTACCTCAACTCATTTAAGGGGCACTTCAGTTCCCCTGCTTCCTAATAATATGTTATTTTCCCGTATAATCTACCTTGTCCATAATTATTGTCGCATTTGCGATAGTAATTATGGACAAGGTAGATTATAGGGGAAAAATAAACATGATATTAGGAGACATGGAAACTAACGCGCTTCTTAAGGCATTTTGTTATGAAACATACAAATAAAAACAGCATGAGGTTAGAGCCAGTTGTTTACCAGCTATTTCATTTGATCAGCTGGCTTTATTTCATCGATGTTATGTTGTATGAACACGTTCTAGACTCGATTCATTCTAGAAATGAATGATCAGAGATGAAGTGATGTTCTTGAGAAGGGTACAATCAGAATGTAGTTGCTGTTTGCTGCCAGTCATGTTGTGTAGATGGCTTCCCGCTGTCCGTGGAGTGCAGCGAAAGGTGGTACCTTGACAACATTGGCCTTGTACATAACAGTAAGAGCACCTACATCCCTCCTGTGATGACGGCTCTACTGAAATGACAAATGGTCGGGTCCAGGCGAGAGATGAGCAGTCTTGCTCTGTTCTCTGTTCTGTCAAGAAGTCATAAATGAGATGGAGGCAGGCAGTTCAAGAAAGTGAAGGATACTCATAGTGTGAGTGTACGTGTGCCTTGTAAAAAGTCTTGCAGCCTCTACTGTCGAGCATATAAGGCGGCCAAGAAGCTAACAGGACCATAGTCCTGTTAGCTTCTTGGCCGCCTTGCAAGATTTACAACATGGTTCTTCATAGAGAGTTTGGAATCAAATTTCATCTCCTTAGAATAACTTTTTCCCCGGGTTTCAACACTCCCATTCATTCTTACTACTGCTCCAGCATTATCACCATGGTGCATAGAGGCCATCTTCATTTGTGTTTGCTCAGAAGAAATGGAAGCAACTGTAACCTGTCATTGTTTTCAATGAGACTGTTCAACTGCCTCCCAGCACACATAAGGGGGATTACCAACAGACCCCTGGCAGTCTTCAAGCTGGCACTGGACAAGCACCTAAAGTCAGTTCCTGATCAGCCGGGCTGTGGCTCGTACGTTAGTTTGCGTGCAGCCAGCAACAACAGCCTGGTTGATCAGGCTCTGATCCACCAGGAGGCCTGGTCACAGACCGGGCTGCGGGGGCGTTGACCCCCGGAACTCTCTCCAGGTAAACTCCAGGTAAGCTGATATAGCTGTAAGCTGGTGATTGATGTAACTGAGAGCATCTGGCATTTCTTCTCTTGGATAAGCAAATTTCAGACCATACCTATGCAGTCATCTTCATAGGTATGGGATTTTGGGATGAGTTGAAAGTCATTGAAGTAGCCCAAGCACACTTCCCTGTGGAACACTGGTGCTGATTGAGTGTCTTGTTGACTCTGTCCCATTGAGAACTTCTCAAGGTATCACTTTGTACCACTAGTGTACAGCTGCTCTTAGATTCAGCAGCAGAGTGACCCTTTCTGAAGCCATATTGACGATCACAAAGAAACTAGCATTTCTCATGAGATTATTATCTCAGTTGTGCCAGTGATGGACAAGGGTGACACTGGCTTGTAGTTGATGAGTTTTGCTCTGATATTTTTGTGAACAGGGACTACATTTGCCTCATTTTCACAAAGAAGTTCACATATCCTGTGCTAGGCAGTGCTGGCAAGTGCGAGTTAGAAGTGAAGGCAACCTGATCTGCGCATCTACTCAGCAATCTTGGGCTTACGTTATCTGGGAACGCAGCCTTTTCTTGGTCCAGGGATTTAAGAAGATAAACGTCATCCTGCCTTATTGACACCTCTGTCAACTTTGACACAGCTCTTGCTGCTAGCAAAGGAGGTTACCTTGTTGTATCAGAAACTTGCATCTTGGCAGCAAAGATGTCAGCTTTCTGTTGACTGCTAGTAGGGATAGTCCTATCCTGTCGATTTAGAGGTGGAATATTTTCATCAGGTGAATAATCTTGTCTGTCCTTGAGAAGGACCGCCAGGTTTAGGAGCCAACTCTTCCTGATGCCATTTTTTTTTTCAGCCTTCCATCTAGAGATGGCCCACTTTTGGACTTCCACTTGCCATCAGGCTTGACTGTTCAGGTTCTTGTTATAAATAATAAGACAGTTCTTGTACCTTCTCCGATCCTTGTACTTAGCAGTAGCGGTCTTTCGGCAACTAAAACCATACCAAGGCTGATCTGAAAGCGAAATCACATACTGCTGGTGAGGGATGTATTTGTGATGGAGATTAAGGAAATGCTTATTGAAGGCAATCACTTGTTTGTAACTATACTTTGGATAAGAGCATTCCAATCGGAGGCGGCAAACTCCGAGCAAAGGGCAGCCACTTTCCATTCAGACAGCCAGGTTGTGCATGACGATTCTTCACCTCATTCTGTTGAAATCGTCAGTGCCATAAATACAGCCTTGTGGTCAGTTGATCCAACTTAGTCAAGAGATCAGCAAGTGACTGTGCCTTCAGATGAATCACTCACTACTGGGTCAAGGGAAGGAGCCGGGTGTGCGAGTAGGGAAGTCAACAAAATGTTTTGTGTCAAACACTGCAAGTTCATCAGAATCCCTCTGTATAAGATGTTGAGTGAGGTCTCCAACAATTATAAGATGTTGACATTTATGTTGAAGCAGAAGGGAGTCAACATTTTCCATTAGGAAATAGAAAGGGTCTTCTTGCTGCCATTGAGGTCTATAGATTGCACATGCTAGTATAGAGGTACTTGGGTTTATACATAACCTGATGAACATTTCCAGGTGATTGGGAAATGGTAACATTAATGAGTTGGGCATGTACACTTAAAAAAGCATACGGTAACATCTCCTTGACTTTGCCTGTTTCGTCGCATCCATGAGGTATAACCAGCCATTCCAGCAAAATATTACAGATTCCTGTCTCCAAAAATGTCTCAACAATGGCGATCATGTAGGACAATGAGATTTCAGGAAATTGTGCATTAGCTCACCAACATAGGTAATGAAGTGCCTAATGTTGATAGACAGAGCGCTGAGAGACTAGCACTTCATGTTTGTATTTATCTTGAGATAGGTGTGTAAAGTGTTCGCCCTTGATACAAGTAGAACACCGAGCCAGTCACTGGGATGTAGCTCTGTGGTCTTGTATGAGGCACAAAACTACCTGCTGAGCTGAGATAAGAGTAGCTGGGTGAGTGATGTGTAAATGTGTTCACCAGTTCTGAGATCTTGCTGGTATGTTCGGAGAATAAAACTCTAACAAACTGGTGACCCTGGCTATCAGATTTCTTTTTGTTTCAACAGTGGTCTTCTTGATATCCCCTCTTGTGGCAGTAATTGCACCTGATGTCGCGCAGACAGTTGTCAGTGGTGTACCCCTTTGGTGGCAGCAGGAGCACTGCCTAAGTGCCTGGGAGGGTAGTGTCCTATTTCCTGCACCTTGTCTCTCCTCGCTCTTTCTCTCTCTCTTTCCTCCTTTCTCTCCTCTCCTGTTTTTTTTTCACAATTGTTTTACAGGTTAAGAGTTCCGTCAGGCTATTATCTGTTACCTCAGCTCATTGGAATTTTTTTTATTATTATGAGGCATACAAATAGAAAATAGGATGAAGTTGGAGCCATCTATGGGCCAGTAATTACATTTGGTCAACTGACTAAATTTCATCGATGTCATTATGCTTTATGAACATTTTAGAAACTTGTCTTCTCACTGTCCACAAAATGGAGCCAAGTGTGGTGCCCTGACACAATAGTAAGGCCATCGACAGTCCTTTAGTATTGAAGATCTGTTATTTCAGGCCCTGCTGAAATGACAGATGTGCCTCTTACAGAATCTTGTAGCCTCTATTGTTTAGCAGATAAAGGATACATCTAAGTGTCGTTAGCTTCTTGGCCGCCTTGTTTACAAGATTAACTAGTTTGTAATATAATTTCCTCTTCAAGTGGGGCTCCTTGGTTTGGTGAAGAGGCTCTTGGTCTGAGGAATTAGACCTGTCGGTCTCCTTCCTCAGACCAAACCTAATTATCCCCCAATCCCCCCTTCCCTCTCCCATCCTCCCCTTTTTCCTTTCCTCCTCCTCCCCACCCCTCCCTTTTGCCCTTCCTTTTTGGCCTTTGGGATTTTTTCTCACAGGCACGCTAGTTTCTAGGTAGGGGAAAGGGTACCGGGGTCCATCCCATTCCGTTGAGGTTCTTGGCGGTGGCGTAGTTTAACGTGGAATCTGGATTGCCTGGGGATGTCCCAATCCCTCTCCGATATCCCAGATGGTGGTTTTGGGTGTCCTTTTCGGGCAAACGGGTGTATCTCTGGAAAAACCTTTTGGATTCCGGGGGTGGTGGCCGAAGGAGGTATGCTTTGTGGCTGATATCCGGCCGCCCTCTCTTTTGTCCACCGAGGTAGCTCGGAAAGATGTGAGGTTTGCTATCCCGGATTGCGGGGTTTACTGGCATGATGGTTAGGGTATGGCATGGGTTCCATGCTGAAATCTGCGCTACTTGCGGTGCTGAGGTCCTCTTGGGCATGGAGGGAGATTTCTGGCCCTTTCATTCCTCCTAGGAACTATCCCTCCTCGGTCCCCCCTTTTTTTTATTCTTTTTTTTATTTTTATTTTCTTCTT